CCAGGAACTGTAGAAGTCTAGAACAGTTCGGTATGGCACCGGAAGAGGGGGGGAGGGTCACCTCGGCGCAGATGCGGGGGCGAGAGAGCCACTCAAGGTGCCCCCACAATGAGCACGAGGCGATGCCGGGTAGGCGATGCCGTGCAGCCAGGCCATGCTTGCAGGCCGTGCCGGTTGCGCGGAGCTACGCCTCCGATCTTCTAAGTAAAGCTGTATTCTCATAAAAGTCGGTAAACCTGCCGGCACGGCCTGCAAGCACGGCCTGGCTGCACGGCATCGCCTACCCGGAATCGTCTCGCGCGCATTGTGGGGGCACCTTCAGGGATGGTTCAGCGAAAGTCTTGTAATAAAGCGCACTCTTGAGGCATAAACGCCTTCAAAAACTACCGGAGTGACTGTAACAAGTAACTAGTTAGCAGAGGTCCGGCGTTGAGTCAGTGCGCTAGGTTTCTTCTCAAATCTAGTTCAGCTCGAAAGCGGCAAGGTCCCAGTCGCGGTTCATATACGATTGTCACACAAGTCAGATAGAATGCAGTTACAAGTTGCCCAGGCACATCCCGAACAGTTCTCAGACATAAGTGATTACTGGTCATAGTTGGGATTCAAACACTTCTTGTGCGGAGATCGGACAGACCCCAAACCGTTTAGACAGAAAACTACATATTTGGCTACTGTCTCTGGAATAGGGTAGAGGGCAACAGAAGTCTGCAAACAGGTATATGAGCACCATCCGACCTCTCGGACAGTCTGCAGACATGCGTCGTGTTGGCGAGCAAAAACCGCGTAGACACAGAGTCGAACCCAGGACTCTGGATTCAGTGCCACTCACCTTGCCGACTAAGCTATCTGGGCGCACACGTATGGGCCGAGGCCGGGAGCATACTACGGTACGTACGCCCGCTCACGAGCCGCTGCCAGTAGGGTGGAGTGAAAACCTGGGATCTTAAAAGTCGACATGGATTATTGTACTTTAAGGTACCCTAAGACTAGCTGCAGGTTCGATTTGGAACCTTCTGAGGTCGAAAGTAAAGGTGTAAAACAGTATTCGTCTTTCCCCTGGCATGAAGGCAACCCGCGTCGCGTTGCTGGTCTCGCTTGCGTGCGCGTTCGCATGCAATCAGCTGGTGAGCGGGCGAGTCCCCCACCCGCGGAGCGGCGTGACGTCATTCAGAAGCATGGAGCCTTATGGGCGAGGCGAGGGCCAGTAGACGAGACATCAATGCACGCAGAGCGCACCGGAGACGGACGGCAGCCACCGTCGCCAGAGCGAGCCTAGCCGCCCAGTGACATCGTCTGTCTCTGTCGCACTCACTGACGCGTGCATAAGTTCGTCTCTCTCTCCTCACTCTTGACTCGCCCGGGCCGGCTGGTGGGCGGGGTGCGTCAAGCGCCGGCTGGGTTGTCCAGCTCGAGGCAGCAGCTCACACCTACACGGACGCGTCCGAGTAGCAATCAGACAGCGTGCGAAAGCGCATAGTGGACCGACGCAAAAAGTTAGCCGGGACCCCTGAGTTACATACTTTCGCGAACAAATTTGAACTGCAAATATAACGGCATTCCTTTAGGAAAAAGAACTGTAGCGCAAACGGTTACATATTGTAGCAATAAAAATGCAACTGTAACAAGTTTTTACACTTTTTGATGTAACTTTCCCATCTCTAAATGTCTCACGCGCTACGGCCCAAGGGCAGGACTGTGGACGGCCAATCCGCGTACAAACTTGGACGCAGACGGTACAAGCAGTACACGACTGAGCCTTGTGGCCACTAGACCCGGCCCAGTTTTACAGCATTTTAATGGGGAGGGGGGAGGGGGGGGGCACAAAACTCATCCCGCCGCCATCGCTCCTACTTATTGCTTTCTGGCCCGGTCTGTGCGCAGTCTGTGGCGTCACCAGCATGATCACCGACTGGCTGCCGGCCGGGTAGCGATCGATGACGAGGAATAGTCCAGGAAATCAAGAAATAAGACCTGCACAAAATACTATGAAGCTGGATTGCTCAGAATCGGTAGAGTTTGGCACGTAGATTTTTATTCCGTAAAATCCGCTCTTCTAACCCGTGAGCATTCCCCGGAAATTGAACAAAGGCGTTTGCAGTATTCGCTGTAGCTTCTAAACTTTTTGTGCGATTTCAACGGGACTTGTGTCAAAATATGCGGAAAGGAACACGGAACAGATGCGCTACTTCAAATAAGTCGCGCGGGGGCATTTTCTGGTTTCAAATTTGATTTTATTGGAAACGTTTCGTTTTCAAAAACTTTTTTTTGGAAATATCACATCATCGCTTTGTAACGGGGCGGCGGATTCAAGAATTACTCCGAGAAAACATTGTGCGCTCAACTTTCAGCTACCCGACACTGTTTTCGGATTTAAATTACATTTCACCGTTCAGGTTCTATCCGCCTTGAACTGAACCTGTGCAGAGCGGCGCGCCAGCCCGCCGCTGCCGCCTGCCGGGCGACGCACGGAGGCCAGCGCTTATTCCCCCACCCAATGCCCTCCCCCTCCACTCTCCAGCTGGGCCGCGCCCGGTCTGAGGCCCCGCGC